CACCAACTTTAGGTCTACCGATCCTAGACATTCATTCATTCATTTAAAGAGAGGTTACCAATCTAGGTCTACCAATTCGAGAGACAACGTTACCATATAGAGACCTTTCATAGTCCCTCATCATCACATATAAACATTAAGAGAGAACATACTTTCAATCACAATATATACACATTGTATAATATACCATCATGCTATTCTTGAACACCACGAACATAACCCTCATATTGCACACACATGTCGACACACCTTAAGACAATACTTCAATTCACTATATAATGCCTTGAAGGCCATAATCAATACACATTCAATAAGTAAACACCTCCACCATAAGTGGATCAATCCAAACACGAACAATTTTAATATAGCATGAAAGTAGGTCAACTTACCATTCTCCAAAGCTATAATCACCATTATCCGTTTCCCAACAATTCTAACATCACAAGAGAATTTACCCATGACTTGCCTACAAGGCCATAATTCTCAATCATCCATACACCAACAATCCACCAACAATAGATATAGATAACAATAGGAAATCAATAATACAAATCAATCTAAACACAATTCCATCTATAAACAATCATAATTATCAAACCCACTTCATAAGCCAAATTTAGGAATTTAGGGAGATCATGGGTCCATGGAGTTTTTCACCTAAAAACATCAATCAAACCATAATATAAGCATAATAAATTGTTTGAAACCATTTAATGCAAGAACCCATGAGTTTGAGGAAGAATTGGGGTTTTTCATAACTTTTGAAAACCATTTTGAGATTTGGCTCTAGGGCGAAAACTAGCCCTAGATAAAGAGCCACCATACCTTAGTTGATGAATTCCCAAAGAAATTTGATGAAGAAAGCTTTGAATCAAAACCCCTAGTTCCCACTTCTTCCTCTTCCTTGAGTTGAGAGAGAAATATTGAGAGAGAAGAACTTTGGGGTTTTTATTAGGGTATTTGAGAATAATGAGTTAAAGGAAGGTTTTAAGACTTAAAACTATTTACATTTATCATATAAACCTTTTAAAATCAACGCCACACATTAAAACATTTAAAAGAAATTACCTAAAATCCCCTAAATGAGGCAGCCCCATCAGGGACCACGCCCACTTGGACGGGCCGTGAAGGGCACCACGGCTCGTGGTGGTGGCCGTGGTCCCTTGACCAGTGGGCCTCTCCACCATGCCAAGCCCTTAAGGGCCCAAGGCATCTCCACGGAGGCTCCCACGATCCGTGGTGTACACCACGAGTCATGGCGGAGCTCGTGAAGATGAGGCAGCACCTAGGCAAAGTTGCCTTGCCTCCCTTGAGACCAAGTGATCTTCACGCCCAAGTATACGGACCGTCTAGGGCACCACGGGTCGTGGTGGTGCCCGTGGTCTTTGGGGCAATGAGCAGCCAACTTGGGACAACCTTGGTTTTTGGCTAAGGCTTGCCCCTTTTTGGCTTGGCTCCTTGTCTAGCACCCTCAACCAACCTAGAGTAGGTCTCATAGCATGGAGTCTAACCCGTGCCTTGACGTTGACTCCTTAAACCACTTTCAAACAAGACTAGGGCAACATTACACCACTAAAACACATTAGCTCAAAAGACTAGTCTCCGAACGTCATGGTCGTCCCTTGACGTTCGACCTCAAAACTCTTCAAACTAAACCTTAAAACCCAAAACTCTTCATTTTAACAAATTACCAACTTCCAAAACACATGTGAAGCTCTAGGTCATTCTATTTCATTTTAGGGTCATCACAATATCCCCCACTTGGAAACATTCGTCCTCGAATGACACTTACAAACATTAAGGGTAAGGACTTCAAGACTACCAGCCCACAATCATGCATTCAACATTATAACGACACATAGTTAGGAGGAACATCAACTCCACATGAAAAGGCATTAAAGCACAACAAGAAGGTAGGAACTACATCTACAAACTCATTATGCACATCATCATCACCATATTTTTTTTGAAGGAATTCCCTTCTCCAAACATCATCATCACCAAGCACATTATGCAAATTTCTCATGAAACACAATTATGCAACAATTTCGAGAACACCTTTTTAAGTATGCTCACAAGTCAACTCATGCAACATTTAAGCAACTTATTATAGATGCATATCAACATGAGGGATAAAATCATTAAAGCTCATTTTCTTATGTAAACAAGAATTCAACTAGAACATGCATAACATAAGGAGACCATGGAACTCAAATTCACATAAGACTCCGAACCATGCATCATGCTACTAGAAACTCTAAGTCTCAAGCTTGAATAAAATCTAAGGAAAGAGACAAGGACATCAACACTCTCACAACCTTACTATTCAACATACCATCCTTAGGAAAAACCCAACTAAAGCTACCATGAACAACTCATAAGGATCTCATCACCAAAGCAAGGAACTATAACTTACCGACATCTCCATACGGATTAGCTCCTTTGTCATTGTTGGCTTGGAGAGCATAGAAACGAGTCTTCTTTTGATCATCAACTTTAGGACCACTAAAAGAAGCTTGTCTAGTATCCCTTCCTCTAGCCGCAAGAGTAGGAAAATCCCTCACCTTGTGATCATTCTTTCCACAACCATTGCACCCATTAGTACCGGCTAGACACTTCCTAAAAAGCTTCTTCCCAGAAGTGTGACAAGTAGGCTTAACAAATTGAGAACCACTACCACTCTCTTGATTAACCTTAGGAGCACTTGCGGAATCTTGGTTAAGAGCCCTCTTCTTAAACCTAGGTTGACCTTGCTCATTGGATCTAGCCCTCTTCAAATCTCTACCCAACCTCTTAAGCTTGGACTCCTCAATGGATTGAGCATACACTATGAGTCTAGAAATATCCATGTCATTATGGAGCATGGCCGTACGACACTATTCCTTGACTAAGTCGGTTACACCGGTCACAAACCTACTCATCTCCTCTCTAGGGTTAGACACCAAAGATGGAGCGTATTTAGACAACAAGGTAAACTGCAAAGAATGCTCCTCCACATTCATGTTACCTTGCTTAAGATTTATGAACTCCTCAATCTTACACTCCCTTTCTCCCGGGGAAAGTACCTTCCTAAGAATGCTTCCTTAAACTCTTCCCACTCTATAGGACCCGCTTCAACCGACCTATTGGCTTTCTATTGTGTGAACCACACTTGGGCCAGTTCCTTCAATTGGTAGGAAGCCAACTCGGCCTTCGCCCTAGAAGAAACCCCCATAGCATTGACTATCTTATAGATCTCATCCAAGAATTCTTGGGGATCTTCTCCCACTCTAGAGCCAAGAAAGATAGGAGGATTCATCCTCAAAAAGTCTCTCAACCTTGAGGCCACGATACTCTCATTAGCATTCACCGTAGGCCCCACATCTCGGTTAGCTTGAGCCGTCATGGCTTGAGCTAGAGTTAGAAAAGCCGCCCTAATCTCTTCATTAGTCATGGTCGGGGGACCCACCGAAACCTCATTCTCTTGATTGCCTATGGGGACTTGGTCACCTTGAAGACCTTGGGGAGGAACTTCCCCATCCACATTCTCCTCTTCCGCTCTCCTAGGATTAGCCCTTGTATTCATATCATATAAACACAAGAGAAAGGATTAGAAAAGGGGACACTTATAGAACCACACTCTATGGCACGACTTCAAGAATATGAAAGAAGGGTAACTTCTATCATCCTATACCCTCTCGCTCATAGATGTGTCGCGACTCACACCGATGAACAAGACTCTACTAGACGTGGCTTGTGAGACTTTGAACCTAAAACCATTCCCAAAACCTTATGCTCTGATACCGAGTTTGTCACTACCCGAGAGCACCCCCAAGTCGCGACACGACGTATTCGACCTCGAAGGTCTTATACAAGCCCTTAGCATTCATTCATCACATAGGCAATAAAAATAGTGCGGAATTAAAACCTTTTAAAACAAACTCATAGGACTTGAAAGTCAACAAAATTTCAAAGAAGTCTTTATACACAAGCGGAATACTAGTCTCACGTGGCCAACTTAGACCCAAGTCACAAAGAAACATACAAGGGACACGGCCCTTTACAATAAAGAAGAATACTACAAGTCTATTACAAAGTCTTAATAAAAGAAACTAGAACATAGAATCCGTGCCCTCGACATATGAGGACATACCAAAAAGTACTTGAGAGAAACTCTAATCCCAAGCTTCACTATGGAAAGCACCTCACTTGCCAACACCTACACTTGTAGTAAAACATCGGAAAAGAATGGGGTTAACAAAATTAAGTACCAAGTATGATGACTATGCAAAAACATGCAAAAAGGGACATTTATTTAAGGTATAAACTTTTATGTCATTTTTGATACATATCCATAAACCACATGTATAAGAGACACATTACAAGTCAACATTCACATACAAGACAATATCCATATTATAACCATGCTCAACTATTACCAATTTTCAACACATATGCACATTTGTCAAATAGACCATTTCATCATCTTAGACCCTCCACCTAAAGTCACCCTAAGACCCACCTAAGTAAGACATGGAGGGGCAGCCCATACTACCTCTTCATGCCACGCCTAAGTGTTCCTCAAGGCTACCATAGATAAGGACCTTTCCCTTTAAACATAAACCAATAAGTCAACATTCATTAGTAGAGACATTTAAGGAGACATCCATGCACATAGGGGACTTCACATAATAGTCATTAAAAACTTAGGGAACTCACTTTCGTACCTTCAAGGCTAAATCGTGCCATGTGTAGATAGCATCCCATACTACTACCTACACGTTATAGAACCTATCAAGTAACTAGAGTGCACATCCCACATGAAGGGAATAAGCATTAACTGAAATAGACCGTACTAGCTAGACATGGAATCTGGTGTCATAATACCCCACACCGTGGAAGGTGTTCTACTTGCCAAGGGTAGAACTAGTACACATCCCATGTAGGCACATGGTTTAGGGGATATCCAAAGATGTTCATTGTACTCTTGCCTCATACTTAGGAAAAGATACCATCTAAACCATAACCACTCATTTCTTAGCCTTAGTTCACATAGAGTAATTTCATTCGCATATGAGTACTAGAGAGGGCGCCATGATTAGGCCTACAGACCCATAATACTCTACCAAGAAGGGCACCACAAGGATCTACCGATCAAGGTTCAAAAAGGATAGCTAATTGACTTTCTTAGAGAGGGTTTCTACTGTTCCGGCCCACCAACTACAAGTCTATCATTTCACACAAGAAGGAGGCACCATCATAAAGTCTACCGCTTCAAGGTTTATATTCACTTAGGGGTCTAGATTCACCATGAAAGGGAACCATACTTAGGTCTAACCGATTCAAGTCATAGCCTAGAATATCTCATTAGTCATTTATAGAAGGGCACCAACTTTAGGTCTATCGATCCTAAAAATTCATTCATTCATTTAAAGAGAGGTTACCAATCTAGGTCTACCAATTCGAGAGACAACGTTACCATATAGAGACCGTTCATAGTCCCTCATCATCACATATAAACATTAAGAGAGAACATACTTTCAATCACAATATATACATATTGTATAATATACCATCATGCTATTCTTGAACACCATGTACATAACCCTCATATTGCACACACATGTAGACACACCTTAAGACAATACTTCAATTCACTATATAATGCCTTGAAGGCCATAATCAATACACATTCAGTAAGTAAACACCTCCACCATAAGTGGATCAATCCAAACAAGAACAATTTTAGTATAGCATGAAAGTAGGTCAACTTACCATTCTCCAAAGCCATAATCACCATTATTCGATTCCCAACAATTCTTACATCACAAAAGAATTTACCCATGACTTGCCTACAAGGCCATAATTCTCAATCATCCATACACCAACAATCCACCAACAATAGATATAGATAACAATAGGAAATCAATAATACAAATCAATCTAAACACAATTCCATCAATAAACAATCATAATTATCAAACCCACTTCATAAGCCAAATTTAGGAATATAGGTAGATCATGGGTCCGTGTAGTTTTTCACCTAAAAACATCAATCAAACCATAATATAATCATAATAAATCGTTTGAAACCATTTAATGCAAGAACCCATGAGTTTGAGGAAGAATTGAGGTTTTTCATAACTTTTGAAAACCTTGAAAACCATTTTGAGATTTGAGTGTAGGGTGAAAACTAGCCCTAGATAAAGAGCCACTATACCTTAGTTGATGAATTCCCAAAGAAATTTGGTAAAGAAAGCTTTGAATCAAAACCCTAGTTCCCACTTCTTCTTCTTCCTTGAGTTGATAGAGAAATATTGAGAGAGAAGAACTTTGGGGTTTTTGATTAAGGTATTTGAGAATACTGAGTTAAAGGTAGGTTTTAAGACTTAAAACTATTTATATTTATCATATAAACCTTTTAAAATCAACCCCACACATTAAAACATTTTAAAGAAATTACCTAAAAGCCCCTAAATGAGGCATTCCCGTTAGGGACCACGCCTACTTGGATTTTACTGATTGTATTAGTCGGGCACGCCATTTTATTGTCCCAATTAATAAAACATTTGTATTTGCTTTTGCAGATATTGGCAATGGATATTAACAAGGAAAATTACGAAGAAATTGGTTTACCCATAATCCAAAAAGCTGGTGTAGCTCACAAGATTGATTTTCGAGAGGGACCTGCTTTACCCGTTCTTGATCTATTAGTTGAAGACGTACGTGTTATCAGATTACCTAAACGATAATAAAATAAAATTAATCAGCTTAAACTAATATATTTTTTATTTATTTTTGGCAGAAAAATAACCATGGCACGTATGATTTCATTTTCGTGGATGCTGACAAGGACAACTACATCAACTACCACAAAAGGATAATAGAATTAGTGAAAGTTGGTGGTGTGATCGGGTACGACAACACCCTATGGAATGGTTCAGTGGTCGCTCCACCTGATGCTACATTGGGGAAATATGTTAGGTATTATAGTGACTTTGTATTGGAACTTAACAAAGCTTTAGCGGCTGATCCAAGGATTGAGATTTGTATGCTTCCGGTTGGTGATGGAATTACCCTGTGCCGCCGTAGCAGTTGATTATTCTATTTTTTTCCCTGTTTGTTTTGTGAATTATAATATGTGCATGTCATCAATATCTCTATTACTAAAAAAATATTTGTATTTCGAATATTGTATTTCTGAAATTGTAAGAAATATTAAGATTTTATTTTATATATCACTTGAGTAAACATTTTCTTTATTAAATGATATTTATTTTATTTATCCTGTATAAATATAGTTTTCTTTTAATCACTCGATATAAGTTTAAAGTTCTTAATTTGATCAATTAAAATTTGTATCGTATAAGGCTTAATAAAAGAAAAAACAAATGCTTTACAAGTACTATTTCTCTATTCTAAGAGTTTTTTTTCTTTATTATCTTCAATAATACAAGCTGAAGATGCAAATGGATAATGATTCAAAAGGATATTTTTGGCAAGGAATCCATTATTCTCTCTGCACGCAATACATAGTACTTTAAAATAACTTCTTGATTGAAAACTTGAATCAACAAACCTTCACCCATTAATATAACACCAACATTAGCCCCTTCAAAATTATTTCATTGCACGATATTACCTTCAATCAAAAAGGATATTGTTTCTCAATCAAATTAAATGTCTATCAATTTTATTTTTTCGAACTAAAAGTGTTTCAGTCATTTAAGACGATGATGGAGAAGGACACATGGCGCATCGCCGACCTGGTCGGCGATGCTCGACTAATTCCGCCTATTGGTCCAAAATCTAGAAGATTATAAACACAAATTTTAAAATGATGGAAAGACGTTCTGAAATTTTGAGCAACTGTTATGATTGTTTGAGAGTTTTTACCTTGAGTTTTTTTATCCCAAACACTGTTCTTGGAGTTTTTGATTAGAATTTCAAGTGGGTTTTGATTTGTAGTTGATTTCAATCATTGTGAAGACTTGCAAATTGTTACCCAACTGAAGGAGAACATAGTTGGCAATTATTTCCTGCTTTTTTATAATGTGTGGCTAAAACCCCCATTTTGGGGGTGTGATTATGTGATTAATTATTTCAATTAGCTTATGAGTGTTAGTAATTACTAATTTAAGTGTTGAATTGAAGTGGGTTTGATTGATTACTGAGTTTTAATTCATGAATTGTAGTTGCAAATGCAGTTCTAGCCTAGTGTTCTATGCTTGCTTGAGAAAGAGGTTTTAGAATTAAAGTTATCGATTGATGATTGTAGTGATTGGGTTATTGTGGTTTCAGCGTGAGAAAGTGAATCCTAAGTTCGATCCTACCAATCTAGCTCGAGAGAGTAGATTAATTGAGGTTATGGGTTGTTTTAAATTGTTATGCTTGTCGAGGTTCTTGAGAACTCACTTGAATCGTGATAGTTGATCGAAAGATGGCTATTATATCTAAAGTTTAGCCTACCAACTAAGACTCAATTGTTTTCAGTAATTATTAATCACTCGTAAAACGAAATTGACAATTAATCGATCACATCGCTAAGGATCCCTCTCTACTTGAATACTCCCCTATTTTCATAGTTGTTAATTGACAATATTAATCCCCCCATTTGACACTAGTTGTCAATCCCTTTGACTTACTTTAATGGTTTTGATTATTTATATTCCTACAACCGATTAGAACATGTCTTTCACTTCGTAATTAAATTCTCTACCGTATCACTCCCTATGGGATCGACCCCAACTCTTCGTTGGGTTTATACTAGATTGTGATCGCCTACCGTTAGAATTGGATGAAGTGTAGTTGAGCGTTATAAAAAATGGTGCCTCTACCGAGGAGTGGTGTTTAGAATTCTCTTAGTGAAGTTTATCTGTGATCTAATCTTGTTTGTAGGTGAATCGACTTACTTTGTTTTGTGTTTGTTGTTGGTTACTCGTGAACATGTGACGATATGAGTGTGAACGGGACTAACGCAAGCCAACTTGGACATCAAGATGACATCGGGACCTTGAATGATGTCAAAGAAGCTCAATTGGGTAGTGCAGGTGCTATTCGGTTACCACCGGTCATGGGAAATGTTCTATTCCATGTGACTAGCACGATGTTGCAAATATTGCAAATGAAAGGTTTATTTGGAGGGCTAGCTCACGAGGATCCCTATGATCATATTTGAAACTTTATGGACGTGTGTGGTCTATTTTCGTTCAAGAACAACTCACAAGAGTCAGTCCGGCTCCGGTTATTTCCTTTTTCTTTGATGGGGAAGGCAACAAAGTGGTTAGCTGACCTACCAAGGGACTCAATTACGTCTTGGTATGAGCTTACCGAGGCGATCTACATAAGATTTTTCCCTCATACGAAGATGATGGCATTGAGAGATAACATTCAAGGTTTCAAACGTTTTGATGATGAACCAATCCACGAGACATAGCTGCGGTTTCAGAAGTTGTTACTGCAATGTCCAACTCACGAACTCCCGAACAACGTGTTGTTACAACATTTCTACCGGAGTCTAGATTCGGTCAACAAAGGTGTGGCTGACCAACTTGTCCAGAGAGGTATTATGCAGCAACCTTTTGAAATAGCATCGAGTCTCCTTGATGGAATGACGAAGATAAACCGTGCTTGGTATACTAGGGAGGATCTAGTGTCTCCTTTGACTTTTAGGATAACAAAGAAACAAATAGAAAAGGACCAAGAACGGGATGAAAACATGGCTAAAATGATGACCCAAATGGATCTTTTGTCAAAACATGTCATTGGTAGTAGTTCTAAGGTCGTGAACGCAGTTACAGTTATCACAGTAAATCCCGATGATGCGCAGTTTGAAGCTTTGTACAATGAAGAAGTACACTTTCTAGCAAATCAGGGAGGAGCTTTCCGCCAAAATTATCCAAGGCTAGCTAGGAACCAAGGTTGGAATAGAGAGCGTGATGAAGTTTGGAAAGACCGTGATAAGAGTGGCGTGACCGTGGTACAAACTGAAGGGAGCGAGATAGTACAAAGAGAGATATGTACCTCCCCATGAGCGTCAAAAGCCAAAAGAACAAAGGGATGACCCAGAAAATTTCCACAATGAAGAAATGATTGCACTCATTCTCAATAAAAGTGGAAGGGTCGGACAAAGTGCTCAAAGAAATGAAGGAGGACGTCTCAACTCTGAACGAGACGGTTACTTCTCACTCGATGCCCATTAAACAACTGGAAACACAATGAGGGTTCTGCACCCTCTCAGCCGCCCTGAAAATATGCATGGGGCATTGTTATCAATGAGGGTTCTGCACCCTCTTGGCCTACACATGCCAAACTTCCTCCAAAATGGGGAAAATGCAAGGAAAAGGGGCCCGTGATGCCAACGCCAGCGGGGGAGATCTCTGATAGTATGGGCGTATATGCCACCCAACTCACTACTTCAAAAAGTGAGGGTAACTCGGGTGATAGATCTTCGCCCTCCGTATCTGAATCAGAAGATGATCAGACTATCCAAACTAAGAGAGAGCTACGCTCCAAATCTTTGAATGATCCAGCCAGGTTCCCAGTGCAGCCTACTCCTCCCGCACCTCCAACTCAGGTTGTAGAGAAGGTACCTCCGATGCCACCAGTTTTGGTAACCCTACTCGGGTCATTGAATATACTGAAGGCCGAGGGTTTGAGGACCATTTTAGAGGAGAAGCGATTGTCTACTGATGGAGTAGTAGACCGGTATCTAGAGGTGTGGAACACTATCAAGTTCGATAAGTTCAAAATCTTCACAAAGCCTCGAGGCTCATATATTCCAACTTGGGTCCAGGATTTTTATGTAGAGTATGGTAAGTTGGTGCCTAAAGAGAAGAAAAGGGCAAGCTCATTCAATCTTGTTGATCATGTAGTGGTGCAGGGCCAAAAAGTAAAATGCAGTAGCATCGTTGATATCCAACATCACATTTACATGGATCGACGTAGGAGCTTTGATAAAGAAGAAAGATCTAAATGTGGCTGCCCGATTCTGGTTTGGATTTATATGCAGCAATTTGATGCCCTCACAGAATTAGTCTATACTTAGGAATCTGAAGGCTGCATTGTTGGGATCATCCATCATTGACTGAGATGATCTTAATTTTGGTCTGCTCATCAAGCAGAATATGTCCATAAGGGCCAAGCAGAGCCAGACCTCTCTCCCATTCCCAATCCTGATTACGGAGTTGTTCATGCATTCCCGAGTTCCTTTGATTTCGAAGACGGATGTGGAAGTAACTCCCACTTCCTCTACTGACATTAAGAGGATAGAGGCCAAGTACATAAGAGATGAGGCTAATATGAGAAGAGCTGCACCGATGATACTTCCTCGGTAGTTGATGTGGAGATGTTGCGGATAGAGGAAATCCTTCCTCCTTAGGCCACTGAGCCTACAGGTACCCTCTAACACCTCCACTTCTCTCCCTTCTAGTTCTACTACTTCTCCTCCTCCTACTGTTGTTGCTGCTTCTTCCCGACACTCGATTACCTATGCTATGTTATATAAGATGGGCCACCTGGCCCAATCAGCTCGTGCTTAATTCCCGGGTTGAGGTTGTTGTCCTTAGGATGATTGATAAAGCCATTGCAGCTGCTTTGGCCCCTATATGAGCTGAGTTGAGAGAGCACCGTGAGCTTATTGATGCACTTGGCTTAGCCTTGGATGCCCTTACTGTGAGAGTGGAGGCTTGTGAGCAGGGAAAGGGTGTATGTGAGGTTGTGACGACACTGAAGGTCGATATTGTTAAATTGAGATGCGATATGGATGAGCTGAAATCCATCGATTTCTCGATATTTTTCAACATAGTGGAACTCCCTGAGGTTTCGAGCACAAATGTTCCAGCCAGTTCTGAGATCCATCCGGCTAATACGACCGGAGATGTTGCTAGGGTTGATGATGATGCTGACTTAGAGGCTGATACCGATGAGGAGGAGTTGGGTGTTTGAGATGTAGCTCTTTATGATGACTTAGAGGACCTCTAGGGGGCAATGGTACAGACATTTGTGGAGGCATCTATGAGGGACACGTCTATGGTGGGCTCCAGTGGAGCAAATGATGATGTTGAGCCGGACACTGATGCCCAGACTGAGGGAGTCACTGTCATGCAGAGTTCACCAGGCTTAGCCTGGCAGGAGGATTTTTTACTCTCTTTCTGTTCTTGTTTAGACCTTTTATTTCTTTGCATTTGAGTACAATTGCTAATTTAGATTGGCGGGGTGAGGTATTTCCATACCTACA